ATAACCAAATCAGAAAATCATTAAATAAATACATCACCATGCTAACAATTTATCTTTGGCGATCCTAAACTGTCATTTGTATCATTCATTCACTCTTTATTTGGCTTGACAAGGTATTGAGACTATCGTTTTTTAAATTAACGCCAAGTACATTCTAGATACGTACTGTACGTACGCACGCAACATTATCGGGTAGTATCGTGTTATACCCAAATCGGACTCTTTGTGATTTTACTATAATCAGCCGATTACCTGGTATATAAGTTCATTTCCTTCATAATACATAACGAATACACATTTTTTTGTAAACAAGTAATAATTAATATAAATAATTTTTGGGACAAGTTATCCAGTATTGTGGGTATTCCCAATATAAGAAAAGAAATTGGTATCACGAAAAAATCAGAAGCTTGATAATTCGAACCTTCTATTTTTAAGGTACTTTACGAATTAGGATGATAAAAAAATATTTAGAATCTCTAAGTCGAAGCATCTTTAGAATATGAATAATCTTTTTTATTATCTATTTGTTATTTTTGAAAACCGATTAAATTATTTTTGATTAATTTATTATATAATAAATAAGTTCTATCTTTTTTTGCAGTTAAAGCCATGCATGGCGCTTTGGGGTATTGCACATCAAATGATTTACTATCATAGTGCAGGACATATGGGGCCTTTGCAGTAGAAAGGGCGGAAACTACTCTAAAAATGAAATTTGTTTTTATTAGTTTCAGGTAAATTTTGATATGGTTAACATTTTTCAATTATAAATGAAAGTCGATTTGCATAATGAAAAATCGAGATAATGTAAAATAAAAGTTGCACGAAGCTTCCCTAAGGCCGAGCATATCACGAGATTATCCGGTAGTCACCTGTTACCTTTAACCAATTATCTCAAAAAATGAGATATATTCGAGTTTCACATTTAGTAAAATCAATTAGATAGGATTTTTTTTTTTTTTCCGAGAAAATTGCACATTCGGACATATTATTAGCAGGCCTACCGAATAATTGATTGTATGGGCAATTAATTGCAATTTTTCGAACTCAATTAATTGATTGGTGGCGCAGCCACAATTGGTCAATTAATTGCAATTTTTAGAGTCGGCCTCTGAAGTGCCGTTGTACAATATAAAATTACAATCAACAAGTTAATGATATCAATATCGATAACTTGTTAATTGTAATTTTATATTGTGTAACAGCACTTAGGAGGGCTAGTTTCAGTTTTTACGTAATTAGCCAGTCATAATTTACTGCGTTAAATTTGAGTAATACGGTCGAGTTAAATAAATTTATATAACAAAAAAATTACAATTTTAACGATACACGTCAAAATAGTGAGTTTATAGTAAAAGAAAATTGCAATTAATTGCAATTATTTCGTCATTAATTGAGTTTCAATTATTTTTGTGATAATTTTAATTGATTGCTAATTGTATATACATATGGTAAAATTAATTGCAATTAATTTTTCGGTACGCCTGTTAAAATATATTGGTTAATATTACGGTCTCAGATATTGTTACATCAGACTGGTACAGATAAAAAAAATCAAAATACCGATATAATATAAACTTTTATACCGGGTAGTATTTTTTTGATCGGGTACAAACACTAACTTAGCCGAAGCCGCCTTACCTTATCAAATCAATCACCGCCTCTTCTTCACTTCGCATAATGTTGTGTTGTTTCCTTTGGTTGTTTGGTAGAAATAATACTCGTTATTTCTTTAACCGTATGACTATAATTAGTAAAATAAAATAAATAATAGATTAAATACTGAATATTAAATTATAAATAACAAAATAATCTATTTTTGCCATCATAGAGAAATAAACGGAAAGCCAAGTAAAATCCCAAGGCCATAAGGGACCCACTCAACCTCCACTCGATGAGTCTCGCACCATGGGTCACCGTGTATCACTTACCATGATGGAGATCAAAGAGTGAATTAACCTAGTGCTAGCAATTTCTCAACAACTAGTATATTATAATCATTACAGCATTAACATAAAAAACTTTAATAAAAAATATATATATATTTACCATATAAAGTGATTTCATTCTTCGTTCGTTTATTCGTTTATTTCTTTAATCGTTTAAGAACTTTATCTTTTGCACAGACGTGTTGTAACGTGCTTATCTTCGTGTAATGCGAATATCAAAACAAAAGCTGTTTATACATTAGTTTAAAGTCTGAGTAAAGTTATAACAAGGTTAGAAAAAAGTAATTGTAAAGAAATTTCTTGCAGAAAATTTTATTGTTAAAACGTAAACAAGTAAAATTTTTGAGTTATGATTTTGCTATTTAACTTAACCTGATTATACATAAGATGTATTATTGTTCATATGATATGATCTTATGATTTTTTTGCCCTGATATTTTTTTCCAGATTTGTAACACATCCACCTAATCATGTAACGTGAAAATTTCTTTAAAAAATCGCGATTGTTTTGATTTTCACGTTACACTTTATTTCTTTGTTATTTTTTCATGTGTTACGATCTGACAATCGAATAGGTTTGAAATTTTTAATCTCAAATTTTATTGGTCAATTTTGTTACACGAATATATGGGCTAGATGCTGAGTTTTTTTTACATAAATCAATTTATTAAAGGAAAATGATTTATGTACATTAGTTTCGTGTAACTTCACGTACATCAATTTTTTTGACCAATATATTATTGAAATTTAGTCATGTGAAATTAGAACAATAAATTTCATTGGTCAAAAAAAAATTGATGTTCATGATGTTACACGAAACTGATGTACATAAATCATTTTCCTTTCATTATTCCTGGGACATCTGATTGAAAATTAACCGAGTGATTAACTATCCGATTCGATAAGGTTTTGATTTCAACATAATTATTATTATTAAATTATAATTATATATTATAAAGATGCAAACATTGGAAGGTCTAAGATTGTTAACTCTTTACGCCATACAGTAGGTAGTGACGTGATAACATCACTGCTTTTTGTTATCGATATTTTATTTATCTTTAGTGCTATTATAATCATGTTAAATATGATAAAAAAAAAATTGGAAGGTTATCAATTCGAGTTACATTATTTTAAACAAATTAATAAATTTTTGATCAAATAGAATTTTTTTTTTTTTTTTACTTATTTGTGCTTGAATCTGTTGTGGATATCTGACTATTTTTATTCGGTTGATATTTTTTATTTGGATCATCAGAAAAGTAATTTGATCAATGGTTCAGATTAGAAACTATAATGACTATATGTTTAAAAGCCTATTTAGATAGATTAGTGATGCAAATTGCATAATTAAGAAATAAGAGAGGTTATCTTTAATAAACTTGTAAACTCGATAGATAGATAAACAAAGCAAAAGAAAGAACCTTTGTGCAGATTTTAGTTTTAGCAAAAGCTTTACTAGAGTTTCTTAGATGGATATTACAACCACAACACTTACGTTGAACAATAATCAATCTAAATAAAAAGTAGAGTAAAAATAAATAATATTAAGCAAAATGGAACGCAAATATTTTCACTCAGTGAACAACTTTTTAACAATTCAGGAAATTTTATTATCGCAAAACATAGTTATTTATTTTTATATAACATATAATGTATGAAATGTATTATGTAGTGTTTCTGCGAAAAAAAAAAAGTTCACCAGATTTCATCGGAATCCGGTGGATTGAGCAAAAAACAGTCGGATATCCACAGTTCCAAGCACTAATCGAGGTATTTTTAGAGACAGTATAAAGCATAATTTTATTTTTAAAAAAATATTATATTTATTAGTTTTGTTAAATCATATAGGACAATTGAATTTTCAAAAGAACGACCTTTTTAACTTGCTCTGGGCCTATAATTAAATATACAGAACTGATTTTATTTACGTATTTAATTATAGGTCAAAGGTAAGTTATAAAAGACGTTTTTTTAAAAAATTGCTTCCGGATTCACCCTTGATATTATTAAACCCATCCTTCAATACCCGAACGTCTCAACAATAAGTGATAGTACTTCTTTCTACGGCTTAATATAGCTGTTTTATTTAGCTCTTTTACTGATTGTGACGCGTTTCGTTTGTTACTTTTTCAACGTCAATTAGAGTAAATTAGAGTAACAATTTTATTGAAAAAAGGCCCAAAAAATCAAATTGGCTGATATATTATATTTTATTAGGTTTATCACTTTTTGTCAGTTTCGTTATATTCTATTAGTTTTATCGGGGTTTATCACCTTTTGTTAGTTTTGTCATTTTAATTTTTTTTGACAAAACTATAGGTTTTGTTTAACTACTATAGACCAAACTCTACGGTATACTTCAGAATTAGGGATCTGCATACCTGGCATATGCCCGTGCCCAACAAAAAATTTAAGGCATAAGCATTGGCATGACTTTGTGCCTGGTCTAAAAATGCGGGCACTTTTTTTGGCACGGACACTAGTGCCCAACATGGTGTCTGGCACGGATACTGCGCAGCCAATTACAGCTATTTTCAAATTTAGCCGAGTGACACTTTATGCCCATGGGCACGGGCACTGCCCAGACACTAATGCCAGGCCTAGTGTCCGATATGCCCGGCATGGGCATTTGCAGAACCCTATTCAGAATATGCACTAGATTATGCTCCAATTTAGTACTCTGGATTCAATACTCCAGAGTCATTTGCTCTGTAGAGATATACTTCGGTTTTGGGCATTACTCTAGTAGAGCATACTTCGCACCACTTTGGATTACTCCTAAAGATGCTGCACCAACAAACATTATTCTATTGTATCTAACAACTGAAATCAATTTCGAAATGGCAAGGATTGAAAAATGAACATAGTTTATTAACTTTATTTTAATGCACTGCATATAAAAATAAAATTTGTTATAAGAACTACATAAATATATCATCACGTGATAATACAATTGAAAATTATGTTCATAATGTAATTTTATCAAATTTCATAAAGTTTGCAAACTTTTTTCCTTAATTTATGATCAATAACAGTTCTTGCTGTTTATCTTCTATTTCTAAATCTTGGAGCTCTTCTCCTCAACAGCGCATTAGTATTGATAGCCAAGGTTTTATATTGGTTTTTGTCTGTTGCAGTAGCGGTTCCCCATAATTTACTCATGGCAGTATTTATCTCACTGGAATCTTCAATTCCGAGTCTCTCCGCTTCTTTACGAATATTGAATTTAAATACGCCATACCCGGTCACGGACCGGGGATTAGAGTGTCTTAGAAGCATATTTACAATCTCTACTGGATTGTTATGTCTAGGAGGAAAGATATTTTGGATATTCAATATCTGGAAAAAAGACATTTTGATCCCAGACCAGGATTAGCAATCCCAGTAATCAGAAGCTTAGATTTAGAGAACCTTTATATATCTATTTTTTTTTTTTTTTTTTTTTTTTTTTTTAGAGATTTTACAGCTGGCATC